TCTTCCTCCTTATCCTCCTTCTCGTCTTCTTCATCCTCCTCCATATCTGCCTCCACCTCCTTCTGGCTCTCACCCTTTAACTCGCCCGCCCTGCCCTTTCGCGTACCCATTCTCCACCTCGCTGCGGATCCTTATACCGCCCCTGAGACTTGTTTGTTTTCCCTTCGCGTCGTCTTCCGTTTGCTAAACGCACCTTAAATTACGCAGCCGATGATAAATATTTGAGCCGTCCATTACGCGAAAGGGCCACTACGGACAGAGAGAGGTCCGGACCGGTGTTACCTCGTTCGAGGCTGGCGCAGCTTCCTCCGTGGATCGTGTTACTTCGTAAAAGGTACATCCGGAACCCGGATAGTCCGCGATGGTGTCGTCACGTGGAATTCCTTTCCTTTTCCTTTTTCCTTTCTTTTACGCGGATCATCGAAGCAGGATATTAAGGTTTCTCACGCTGGTGATTTGGCCGTTTGCTTTCGCTTTTTCGTTGATGCGCGGAGAATTTTTAAATGGTTTAACATGTCAATATAATGTATCGATTGATATAATATTAACATGATAATATATAACGTTATATCAATTCATATATAATATTGATTGGGTGGGTCTAACTTCGAGTGAGCTTTCATAGATTATCTGTAACTCAATGAAGCTGGTTGATAGTTAACTCCGTGTGCAAGAGATTTTAAACGAGCAAATAATCTTTATAAGAATTTAAACTACTGCGATTAACTTTCGTAATAATAACTGTGGCTCCGAATTATCCGAGCGAAGCAATTTGCAATTTTTGTAGATTATTTACAACTCGATTAACTGGAGATGAACTCTAAGGGTTTTGATTGAAGAAATAATCTACGTAACAATTTGGACCATCGACTTTTAGTGATAATCGTGAAGTTATATCGCGAATTTCAAATCTAATGTAACATTCTAATGCAATTTAACTTTTGATAAGTTACCTGTATCTAAAACTAACCCAATGAAGCTAACTGAGGGTTAATTCCACGTGCAAGAAGAGATTTTAAGTGAATAAATAATCTTTATAAGTATTTGAACTTTTAGCAGTAATTGTGGCTCGAAATTATCCCGCGAATTTCAAAGCAATTTGCAATTTAATTTGAATCTTTGTAGATTATTTACAACTCGATTATGTCAACTGGAGATGAACTCTGAGGGTTTTTTTTATTGAAGAAATAATCTACGTAATAATTTGGACCATCGCGTTTAACCTTCGATAATAATCGTGAATTGTCCCGCGAATTTCAAACCCGAAGCAATTTGCAATTTGATTTGAATTTTTGTAGATTATTTACAACTCGATTATGTCAACTGGAAATGAACTCTGAAGGTTTTAATTGAAGAAGTAATCTACGTAATAATTTGGACCATCGCGTTTAACCTTCGATAATAATCGTGGATTGTCCCGCGAATTTCAAATCCGAAGTAACAGCCTGTAATTTGATCTAAATTTCCGTAGATTGTTTAAATCTCAACAATGCTAATTAACTTTGAGGGTTTCAATTGAAAGAAAAAAAGAATTTACACAATAATTTGAGTCATCGTGCTCGACTTTTGATGCCGTGATGATCGTGAATCCGAATTATGCCGCGAATTTCAAATCCATTGCATGTAACATTCTGTAACTTAAGTTTTTTGATTACCTAGAACTAGCCTAATGTGTAACAAGAGAATGTAACTGAAAAGATAGATTGAGTAGCAATTCAAAGCATTGCGTTATCATCGACGTTCGGGATAATCGCGCGAAATTCAAACGCGACGCGGCAACAGCGCAGCGCAGCGGCGCGGTGTTATTTCGCGCCTCGATAGCGCGACTTTTATTTCCGCCACCGCAGCCGCCACAAAAGTCGAAGTGCCTCGTAACAGTATTATGAAATGTTCCGGAGTAACGTTCCACGGATGTTTACAGCTATCGCGAATACTCGTTAGCTTTTAGTGTCGGCCGGTTTCAACGAATTCTGGCATTCGCTTTGTTAACGAGCGACGTTTATGCTTTCATTCGGTCATAATTCTACCCTCTTCTGTCTTTTCTTACGATTCGTTACGTACATAAGTATACACAGCCGTCATAATGTTAACTATTGTCTTCTCATAGGCTTGCCATGTACGTACGTATTGATTCATTCCCGCGTTTACGCGACGCGTATTTACTGTTACTATCAAGCCATGCCAAACATGTTGTTTGCAATTTTATTTCTTCGATCAGTTAATCGACGAAATAATGAAGAATTAAGAGATTTCTATTAATTCTGGTATTTAGTTATCATTAATTTATAGTCTAGTGTAAAAAGAGAACTATAATATCACAATAATCGCGTTGTGATATTTATGAGAAGTGGTATAGGACTGTTATTTCTTTAATTTCGTTACGTGTTTAATTTATGAATTTCTAATTCACAATAATTTATTCTAGTAATGTTGTAATAATTTGTAACATTGCTATAAACGTTATTAATTTATAACATTATTATAAACATTATTTATTCTAACAATGTTAGTGTTTAATTTCTAATTTATAATAATTTATTCTAATAATGTCAATTATTACAATCTTTATACAATTTAAGATCTTTATACAATTTCAAACTGTATTGGATGTCTAATAACAACGTTAGTGTACGATAACAGTGACAATAGTGATAGGATACTATCAAAATATGGTCTCGTATGACCTCGTATAATTCATATGTTTAGTCCCGTGTGTCTCGTAAGGTTAATCCCATTACAGTCGAATATTCTATGTAATCGAATATCCCCCGTAGTTTACATGGCTTCGTATTATCTTGTTGCGAATCCGAATCCTGCATAGCGGATCTCGAATCGCGAATAACGAGTTCTGAATCCGCCGAATAGCCACACTGCTACCAATTCAAATGTGTCATATATTTTTATATATTTCATTTCATTCCATTTTACGTATTTCATACATATTATTTCGAATATTCGGTTAAATAGCTTTGACTCATTTTGCCCAGACAGAATGCTGAAAAAATCGAACATCGATCGAAGGACTGAAACACGAAAGCTTGTACAATTTCTTCTCGTCAAGTCGTAAAATACTCTTGTGAACTCTCAATATCGACTGGAATGAAATTCCAAAGAATTCACTTCTTCATCATTTGGATTCTATATTTTTATAAAATCGATGTAACTTTGTGGATTTGGAAAGTTTCAAGAAATCAAAGTAGTCTTTAATGGGTGTTTTGTCAATTCTTCGACACGAATGGGCTGTGCGGCTCTTCGATGGAAGTTTGTTTGGCGAACACCTTCTTCATCTACGCAGGTCAGACTTGTCTTCATCTTTGCTTGCTCCGACGATTCTTTCTCAGGTTAAGCTCTTACCGACGATTTAATTTTTCGAAGACTTGCTGCATTAAGAAGTTGGTTCACTCCGTCACGTTTCTATTTCAATGATGAACTGAGAACTATGAATATTTAAACATAACAGTTTCCCTTGTGACACGAGCACTGCGTATACGCGGAACAGATAGACATTCGAGTGGAATTTTGACCATTCAGAAGAGAAATGTAAAAGGAGATTTTCAAATGAGAGGAATGTTTGCTTTTTTAGATGTCGATGAACGATTTAATCAATTAGTCGACTTTATAGTTCGTTGTTATGTCGAGCGAAATTTCTAACATTTCTACGTGACTTTCTATTCGAATCGTGCAAATTCCTCGGATTTCCTGCGTGTTGCTCGAACACGGTGAAAAACAACTTAATTTCTCGGTACCAGCCTATAATTTCGTTGGATCTCGTATCAAATGAGAGGAGCCTCATCACTTAACATTAATTAAAATTACTGATTCTTAATATAAATCTCAATGTGATATATAATTAATAGGAATCGATAGTAAAACGAAAATAAATAAGTAAAAATTATTGAAAATTTAATATCAGTTTATTTAGTATCATTGCTAATTTGGTAAACTAATATTTTGGTATAATTTACGATATACTTTTATGAATCTGATTTTTCAATGGCTATAGTAATTTATCTTAGATTACAAAAATTTGGAATATCTGATTTGACACTTCTTTCTTTTATATACATTCAATGAGATTAACGATGAAATTGAATTGAATCAAAAATTTTTAAAAACACCAACCCTCAAGCAATATCGTTGACTATAATTATGATAAAATTGAATTAAATCAAAAATTCCAAATTGTCTCCAATGTTGAACACTACTAATTAAGTGTCAATTGGCAATTGCTGGATAACATTTAACAAAAGAAAAAAAAAAAAAAAAAAAAAGAAAGAAATTTTAACTCGAACTTTTATCCAAAAACGTGTCTCAATTATCTCCGTCTCATTTTCAAGAGAGAGAAAGAGTGAGAAAAGAAATATTCGTATAAAAATATTCCGAATTGTTATCGGTGGATTTCAAGGATTTTGTTTACACCGTGTAAATTTGGATGTGCCAATGACTGCCATTGGAATAACGGCGGACGGAATAGCAGCGAGTTATTCACGACAAAAAAAAAAAAAAGAAAAAGAAAATGTTTATTATCAGTATAACCGAACACTTTGGTAAGCCTGGTGGCCCGTCCCTCTCTTTCTCGTCCTTCGTTAGACTTCGACTTTCATATCAGTTGGCTCATAGCTGTGGCTGGTGACGTTTCCACCGGTGGTTCGCGTTCCTCGTCACAAAATTCTTCACTGTTCGGAGTGCCGGTTATCGTCGCGATCGTATCAGGTATTATTCCATGTATGTATGTACGTACGT